AATATATTATAAAATGTGTAGCAGAGGACCTGCCACATGGTGGGCTTTACATAAATCTTTACATTCATTCCTCCATCCCTTTTGAGTTCATTAACTATGGAACACCTGAAAAATGAATCAAGAAAACTTGAAAATTAGTGTAGTGCTTGAGACATGAGTGAATACTTTATGTCTAGTCAGTTATTTGATTTTGCAGGATAATTATGAGATTGAATTTAGTAGCCCATAGGTGCTATTACTAATGAGTAGAGCAGAACAGGTCCAGGTGCTTTGCATTTTGAGGTATACTTAGGGATAGATAGTTTTCTTTTAAAGCAGCACAAAGTGCTCAGGCCAAGTGGTCATTTAGTCCAAAGATTCCTAAAGTAGTGGGAGCCAAGAATGCCCTCTGGAGCGTGGTAAGCCTACATTCTCAAATCCTGCCCTCTGAGTTTCGGATTAAACAGATTGGGTTAAATCCTGGTGAATAGCATGTAAACAAATCTAATGCAGCATTTGGCTGTTCTCATTATGCCTTTTACAGAACAGGAAACTAAGACCCAGCTCATACAGTGTTTGACCAAGACTTCATGTGAATGAAGCTTATTAACAATTGTGTCTTTTTTGGCTATTTGTATATTATTTCAGCAATATCTGGTATGTGGGAGCTGTTATGTGAGAACTAAATCTGTCCTGTACTCAGCTCCAAATATGTAATGAGAGAGCAAAGATAAAACCACAAAGTGATGTTTTAGAAAAGCTAGCAAGGAATTAGAAGCAAGAATTCAATTCCCACCTTTGCCATCTACTAGTCTGTTACCTGAGCAAATCAATAAATCTGAGATTCAGTTGTGTCACTTGGAGAGATGGAGTAATACTAGCCTTCCTCACCTGACAGCGGGAATGCATTTGTGTTTGCGTGTGTGCATATGTACACATGTGGAGCCACACTCTAGTTCTTGGAAATGGGGTAAAGAATTAGGTAAAAGACAAAAAAGGTAGTTGGGTAATCAACATTTTAATGTGCCTAGGCTATGGATCTTACTAAGATAGGTTCTTACCTTAAAGACTGCTACAGGAGACAAACAATAGGAAAAGTTATAAAATACTACTTTAGAAATAACAAAAGTACTTGGAGAGTCACGAAGGCTCCTTAGCCTGGCTCTAGAAACCAAAATAGTTATAAGCCAACAATTAGGTATTGTTTTGCTTTAATGTAGATAGTTATTATTATTTAGACAATTGGCATCTGAAATACATAATAAGTATTTTATCATTTTACTTAAAACCAGAATTTCTGGAATTTCCAATTAGTCTTTAAAGTTTCCCAATATGGACATGAACTAACCTCTCTTTGTATCAAAAGATGAAATGTGAGGGGCCGGTGCTGTGGTGCAGTGGGTTAAGGCCCTGGCCTGAAGTGCCGGCATCCTATATGGGCACCAGTTCTAGTCCCGGCTGCTCCTCTTCCCATCCGGCTCTCTGCTATGGCCTGAGATAGCAGTGGAGGATGACCCAAGTCCTTGGGCTCCTGCACCCATGTGAGAGACCTGGAGGAAGCTCCTGGCTCTTGGCTTCAGATCGGCACAGCTCCAGTGTTGCAGCCATCTGGGGAGTGAACCAACAGATGGAAGACCTCTCTCTTTGTCTCTACTTCTCTCTGTAACTCTGTCTTAAAAAAAAAATAACTGTCATAATAGAGCAACATTTTCACAGGGAATTTATAAGGTGCTGGCACATAAAATGTAATATCTGTATGATAATGTCTACAGGAAACATTTAAAATTCTCCTCAAGCAACTTAAGTTCTAAAGATTAAACAAATATTTTATGTCAATAAAAAATTAAAATACTACAAGCTTTCCATTAATTCAAAACTGATTTGTACTTACATAAAGATGTACAAGCCTTGTCAAACTAAATGATTTATTTTAGTGAATATACTTCTTTGACATAACATTTTCTAGATTATCCTGTAAGTACAAACTGGGCTTTATTGTAACTTATAAATGCTTCCAATTAAACTGTAATACTGGGGCATAAATGTCAGTTGTGTTTGCCTAGCTATTTATGTGTTACACAAATAAAAATCTGTGACTCTTAATTTATACTTTTTTAAAAAAGATTTATTTATTTATTTCAGAGTTATAGCAAGAGGGAGAGACAGAGAAAGAGATCTTCCATCTGCTGATTTACCCAGATGGCCACAACAGAGCCAGGAGCCACGAATTTACCCAGGTCTCCTGCATGGATGGCAGGGACCCAAACACTTGCACCATCTTGCTCCGCTTTTCCCAGGCCATTAGCAGGGAGTTAGATTGGAAGTGAAACAGCCGATACATGAACAGGTACCCATATGAGATGCCAGCTCCGCAGATGGCGGTTTTACCCACTATACTACAGTGATGGCCCCTCCATTTAAATATTTAAGTCATCATTGTAGAGAATGTGTTAATAAGAGAAGTCAAACAAAGAGTGATTATTTTTCACTTAAAGTTCTGAAGATGAGTATTCTACTTTTAAAGGAAAATAACTGAAAATTTTGTTTTTGACTAAAATTTTAAAACTAAAATTATGAGGCTAATGCTGTGGCCTAGCAGGTAAAGCCACCATATGTGGTGCCAGCATCCTATATGGGCCATAGTTTGAGTCCCAGCTGCTCCACTTCAAATTCAGCTCCCTGCTGATGTGCCTGGGAAAGCAACAGAGGATGGCCCAAGTGCTTGGGCCCGACACCCACATGGGAGACCCGGAGGAAGTTCCTGGCTCCTGGCTCAAACTGGCCAGCTTCGGCCATTGTGGCCATTTGGAGGGTAAACCAGTGGATTGAGGACCTCTATCTGTAACTCTGCCTTTCAAATAAATAAATATTCAAAAATAAGAAAGCAAAAAAACTAAAATTGTCTTAGAAAACCCTGTTTACCCTGTAAGCTCATATTTCCATGCCAGCATATATATACTTCATTCTTTAAAAATAGTATTTAGGATTTCTAAAATTTTTGCTATATGTAACAATTCTGTGATGAGCATCCTTATATATACAGGTTTCCCTCGGCATCCAGGGGAGGATTGGGTCCAAGACCCAATAGCTACAACCATCTGTACATGTTGCAGTCCCTATATGTAAGATGTGTATCCTTCCGTGTACTTTATAGCATCTCTGGGTTATTTATAATACTTAATATAAGGTAAATAATGTATAAATAGTTGTCGCTCCCCGTCTTCGTGGAGGAACGACACAGGACCCTGCGCTGTTCTTTTGTCTGCTCGGCCCTCCCCGGGTTGGCTGCTGGTCCTTCCCGGGTTGGCTCCTGGTCCTTCCCGGGTTGGCTGCTGGTCCTTCCCGGGTTGGCTGCTGGTCCTTCCCGGGTTGGCTACCGTCCCTTCCATCTCCATGGAAGGGCGGTTCCCCCTGCCACATTCCCCACTTCTGCGGGGGAGCGGCACACCACCGGCCGGCTCTCTCGGGGGCTGCACAGGTGTTCCTTCAGATGTTCCCCTTAGATGTTCCTGGTGCATGCCGTCTCTCTCCTCCTTTATAGTCCTCTTCCACCAATCCCAACTCTGCTACCCACACGCCGAGTACGCTGCTCTCCTCCAATCAGGAGCAGGTCCTGCTGTTTATTGGTTGAACTGGAGGCAGCTGGGTAGAAGCTGTTTCCTCCTCTCCCAGCGCCATATTGTGGGAGAGCAGATGCATAGAATAAGTCTTAATTCCAGTAACTTAGTCTAGTCCGAGTTGCTCCCAGTTGCTCCCCACAATAGTTACACTTGTACTGTTCAGAGAATAAAAAGGGAGAAAGTCTGTACCTGTTCAGCACAAACACAGCTGTCAGTCTAACTACTAGAACAGTTCAGCAGAAAGATTACATTTTTCCTCCAGTATTTTTTGATCCACTGGCAGAACCAGTGGAAATGGAGAGCCAACCTTACATGTGTCTTTGTGTACTTATCTATTGGCTAAACTCCCTGGGATAGAACTGCTGGGTCAAAAAAAATTATATGAAATTATCCTACAAATTTATATTCCAGTTTAAAGAATTTTTATTTAAAAGAGTTACATAGAGGGACAGAGAGAGACATCTTCCATCTACTGGTTCATTCCCCCGATGGCTACAATAGCCAGGGCTAGACCAGGCAGAAGCCAGAAGCTTCTTCCAGGTCCCCCACATGGGTGGTAGAGGCCCGAACACTTGGGCCATCTTCCACTGCTTTTCCAGGTGCATTAGCAGAGAACTGGATTGGACATGGGACAGCTGTGACTCTAACTGGCACGCATTTAGGATGCTGGTGTTGCAGATGGCAGCCTAACCTGCTACACCATGACAGAGGTCATGTATGCCTTTAACCACCAAGAATTTGAAATTGGACTTAAATAAAGCTTTCAGAAGCACTTAGACATGTCTAAATTATAAAAGACACTCAACATGGGACACACTAATTTGGTTTGCCATGCATATTTTCTTATGATGGACCCAAAAGGAAACAAAATAGGTCCCCTTGGCAAAAGAGATTAGGGTAGTCCTGAAGAAGAAACTTGTCCTGTAGGAATTGGTTTAGAATTGGTTGCAGAAATTTTGTATAACGTGATTTTATATTTCAAAATATGTACAAATATAAAAATGTTTTGTGTTAGATTTTAAATTTTAAGCAGCTGTATAATTTTAAGCATTTATTTTCCTTTACATTTGATCAGGGCATTTTCCTTTTATCTCTTGCAAATTAGGCCTTTCCTTATATCTCCATGCCTCTGCCTCTACGCCATAGCAACACAGTCCTTTGTGGATCTGATCCAGGTTTAAAGAATGGACTATCCAACACTGAAGTATTGACACAACTGCAGTGATTTTTTTTTTTTTTTTGTTAGACAACTGTAACTTTGATGTGTTCAAAGTGCTGAAATACCTCAAAGGGAATGAAAGGTGTAGCTGGTGTTCATGTTTGTCTTCCTTTGGTTACAAGGTAATTTAAGACTTTGACTTTCTGTTATTTTAATGAACACCCGTGTAATATATTTCACAGATTTCAATGGGACAGATGTTACAAGATTTTGGAAAATTTCTTGGGATGTTCCTCCTTGTTTTGTTTTCTTTCACAATTGGACTGACACAACTGTATGATAAAGGCTACACTCCAAAAGAACAGAAGGACTGTGTAGGCATCTTCTGTGAACAGCAAAGCAATGACACCTTCCACTCGTGAGTGTCTTTTAAAATTTCTTCTTCAATTTCGTGTTCTATATGAATTAGTACTGCCAGAAATGGAGCTTTCAGATTTCTTTAAGAAATACCTTTCTAATATTTATAAACTTTAATATTTTTAAGTTTACTTTTCATCAATCTGTGACATCTTTACATGCAGAATCTTAAATAGTAAGTGCAAACTATCACACTGTCTTCACTACAGTCTTAACAGAGGAACTCCTGGCATTTTGTACACTCCTGCCACTTGGGACAGGACAGTTCTTTGTCAGGCCTGTATATTGCAAGATGTTCAGTATCTCTGCCATTCGGACATTGAACGTCAGTAACACTCAGTTGATAAAACTGAAAACTCTCTCACATTTTCAGTTTTACTTAGGAGGGCATTAGAATTGAGAATAATTAGAACTTCGTGAATATTTTTTCTCTAATGTATCAAAGAATTGAACAACCAGTTCAATTTTTTATTTTTAAATAAAATTTTTATTTTTAAATAAAACAATAGAGAAAAGGTGTGAAACTTTCTTCTTATGTTTGTGCCATATTCTTGAGATACTTTGTGTGTCATCTTATTTTTAAAATAAGATGAAATAAATAAGTGTTCATTTAACATATGCCATATGCCAGATGTTATTTTAAATACTGAATGAATTAAGGAACCACATTCCTTAATGGAACTTACATTCCAGTGAGATAATACAGCTAATAAAAAAATACATGAAATACATCTATTAGTGATATGGGCTAACAAGACAAATAAAGCTTGGTCTAGGGGGTATATATAAGAGAGGGTGCAGTTTTAGATAGAGGACCAAGGCGTGCCCAGAAGAGATGACATTCAAATAAAGACCTAATGCTGGTGACGGAGCAAGCTAGGAAGAAGGTATCTGGGGGAACAGCATTCACAGCTGGCATAGCAAAGCAAAGGCCCAGAAGAGGAGGAACAACTGGCAAGATCCAGGGAAAGCCAGGTGGACGGTGTGTTTGGACTGTGGTGAATCAGAGGGAGAGTGGTAGGTAATGGGATCACGTAGGACTTTGGTAAGCCTCGTCTGGGTGTTGGGCCGTGGAGATTGAGAGTCATCGGAAGAATTTGGGTGGAGGAAGGACAAACACCCAAACTCCATCATATAGGCGGTTAGATTGAGAATATGCAAAAAAAAAAAAAAAAACCAGCAAAAGGTTAAACAGGAATAATTTATCTTCTTCTGAGTCTATGTCCTCATTTAAAGTAAGACATACCTGTGCTGTGGAGATCAGCCTCATTTATTTTATCAAATATTTGAGGATTATGTCTTATATAATTTTGATATGAATTCAACTTTGCTAATTAATTTATCAAACTTCTTTAACAGAAATGTGATTGTCATTACAGATTCATCGGCACTTGCTTTGCTTTGTTCTGGTATATTTTCTCCTTAGCACATGTGGCAATCTTTGTCACAAGGTTTAGTTATGGAGAAGAATTGCAGTCCTTTGTTGGAGCTGTTATTGTTGGCACATACAATGTTGTGGTAGTGATTGTGCTTACCAAGCTGCTGGTGGCCATGCTTCATAAAAGCTTTCAGTTGATAGCAGTAAGTGTTTGTCCTTTTATCTATTTTTAATAGACTCTTATGTGAAGCTACTTTTTAAAGGTTTACTTACTTATTTGAGAAGCAGAGTTAAATCTATCCACTGGTTCACTCCCCAAATTGCTGCAATGGCCAGGCTGAAGTCAGGAGCGTCTTCCATATGCTTGCGGGTGCCCCAGTACTTGGGCCATCTTCCTCTGCTTTCCCAGGCACATTAGCAGAGACTTCAACCATCGCTCATATGGGATGCTGCCATTTCAGGTGGCAGCTTAACCCACTGTGCCACAATGCTGGCCTCAGTGTTTGTCCCCTTTAAAGTGCTATGTTTCTCTTCAGATCAGATTAAATGTATGCTGTAGATAGGATAACAAAAGATTACAATAGTATCATTTAAAAATTAGAGATTTTTTTTAAAAAGATTTTATTTCTTTGCGAGGTAAGGTGAAAGGTCTTCTGTCCGCTGGTTCACTCACCAAATGTCCACAACAGCCAGTTGTGTAACAGATCTGAAGCCAGGAGCTTCTCCTGGTTCTCCTATGCTGGTGTAAGGGCCCAAGCAACTGTGCCATCTTCCACTGCTTTCCCAGGACATAAGCAGAGCTAGATCAGAAGAGGAGCACTCAGGACACAAACCAGCACCCATATGGGATGCTGGTGCCGCAGGCAGAAGCTTAACCTACTTTGCCACAGCACTGGCCCCCTTAAATAGAGATTTTAAAACTATAAACAATATACAATAATCACAAATCTTGGGCCAAATATTTATCTGCAACATGTGCAAATATTTGAATAGCTCTCTTCTGCCTACCCTTGTATGCATGTGTATTCATATTCTCTGTTGCCTTTTCATTTGCCTTTAAAGAATCATGAAGACAAAGAATGGAAGTTTGCTCGAGCTAAGTTGTGGCTTAGCTACTTTGATGACAAGTGTACATTACCCCCACCTTTCAACATCATTCCTTCACCAAAGACTATCTGCTATATGATTAGTAGCCTCAGTAAGTGGATTTGCTCTCACACTTCAAAAGGCAAGGTCAAACGGCAAAACAGTCTAAAGGTAAGAAATTACAAGTTTGAATTGCAATCTAAGTTTTAACAATTTCTGAACACAGATGTTTCTTAAATATACAAGCTCCTTAAAGGGCTCTAACTCTGTCCAGTGCCAGATCCCTAATGCATGGCATAATATATAACAAAGTAAGAATTCAATAAATATTTATTGAAAGTGAGAGATAAAAGCTTAAAAAAAAAACTCAGTCTTAAGTTTCCCCATCTTAGAAAATCTCATCTCATAGTTTTACAACATGGGCAATGTTCAGAATACCTGTTCTTTCACTGTAGATAAAGAATGTCTATAAAGTTCATTCAGATTTTTACAACAGTAATTCAACACAAATGTTACCGTAAACCAGCAGTTGGGGACTTTTTTCTTGTAAAAGTAAATATTTTTGACTTTGTTTTAGCCTGAAAAGAATAAGATATTATATAAGCAATTATATAATAGAGGAAACAAATTACCAAAAATTTATTGATGATATTAAAACTATAACTATGATTGAGTAATTTTGGTGATATTTCTTAGTGAAAAGAATAGAGTACCTTTTGATGAAGATAAAATTTCCCTTAAATAGGGTTCAAAATTAGTTTCCTATCAGATGTATTACACATATTCATCTGTGAAAATCATTCATAGCTCATAGGCTGTAAAAAAGCCAGGGGCCGGCATTGTGGTGCAGTGAACTAAGCTGACGCCTGCAATGCCAGCATCCTGTATCAGATCACCAATTCGAGTCCCAGCTGCCCTGCTTCCAATCCAGCTCCCTTGCTAATGTGCATGGGAAAGCAGTGGGGAGATGGCCAAAGTACTTGGGTCCCTCCCACCTACTGGGAGACTAGGATGGAGCGCCTGGACCAGCCACTGTTGTTGGAGAGTGAAACAGCTGTTGGAAGATCCATCTCTGTCTCTCTGCCTTTCCAATAAAATAATCTGTAAACAAATTGAGGTGTGCCACTTTTGGCACACAGTTTGCCATATATTGAGGATTCTAAGACTAACTTCTTTTTAATCAAGGTAACATAAAGGCAAATGAATAAAACAAATAATGCAAGCTATATTCATTTTAAACAAGTATTAAATATACCATATAGTGACAAAATTCTAGTCTAAGAAAATATTAAAAGATGTGTCTGTATTTGTTAATATTTTTTTAAAAAACACCTCACCTCACTAACATGTTGAGCATGTCACTAGTATCGTATCATTGTTTTGAAGGAGTGGAGAAACTTGAAACAAAAGAGAGATGAGAACTACCAGAAAGTGATGTGCTGTTTAGTGCACCGTTACTTGACTTCCATGAGACAGAAGATGCAGAGTACAGATCAGGCAACTGTGGAAAATCTAAATGAACTGCGCCAAGATCTCTCAAAATTCCGGAATGAAATAAGGGATTTACTTGGCTTTCGGACTTCTAAATATGCTATGTTTTATCCAAGAAATTAACCATTTTCTAAATCTTGTGGAGGGTAATTTTCAGTAACAATTCTAATAGACTGTATTTGCACAACTTGCAATTAAGTAAGATATATATTGAAAAAGAATTATGTAAAAGCCATTCTTTAAAATATTTATAGCATAAATATGTTATGTAAAATATATATTGAGAATTAGTTTTTTAAAACTTTGTTAGTGGCTTTTTGCAGGAGCAAAATGCATAAAGTAGATAGATTTTGTTCGCATGCTGCTTGGTTTTCTTATTTGGACAGTGCTTTCAAATTTTTTATGTTGTAAAGGGCATTTATAAATGTTCCCATTGCTCAGAATGTTTTGTAAAGTGAAGATCAGCAAATGTGGCTGATCTTCATACTGAGGATGCTATCACTTGAAATCCAGAAGTCATGGTTTTTAACATCTCTGTTTTAGGAGTTCACATATAGTTTAGTATTTATTGTTTAGGAATATAGTTTTACCTAAAATAATAGTTTATTTTTTCTTTTTTCTTTTATTATAATCTTAAGCAACAAAATTCTAATGAATATTTGAATCTATTTATGTCTATCAATTTAAATTCACTTCAGTTTTTGTTACTGTAATATATTTACTTTTACATGGTATAATCATTTTATATTTTTTTCTTCACTTAAATAGTATTTTATATATACATTTCCATGTATTGACATAGTCTATGTATCTAAATTTTTATATAATTATATAGTTTTTGAAAAACTTGTAGATCAGAAATAACATTTATTTTTTAGCTTTAGGATATTTGTTTTTAAGTCTGCATAGCTACTCCTCTAGGCATTTTGTTGCTTCTAACTTTTCCTTGCCATAATAGTGCTATAATTCTTTTTCAAGCTGGAGTGAATATTTATAGTTATAAAATAGAAGATACTTCTGTATCATGTATAGATGCACTTGTTTTGGTATGGTAAAACTTCAGAAGACTCAAGATTTGTTTTATATTTGAACTAAGGTTCTTAAGCTTGTCTCCCAAAGTATTTTCCTTAGAATTTAACATGGCTTCTAAAGTGATTTCATGTTTGTGGGTCATTTTTGCTGCTTAAAATGAAAAGCTTGATTTTGGAAATTAGAGAATAAAGTATGTATTTATTTTTTTTTCTGTGTTCACATAAGAGATGTAGCTAAAATTTTTTCACAGGCTATTGCTTATATATTCTTACAGCATATCCAGTTAAGAGGGTATTAGGTATGTATTATCTTCTTAACTGAATGTCAGATAGTCTTAAAGCCACAGGGTGCAGGTAGCCCTTGGTCTATAATCACCACTGATCCAGGGATCATTGTCTAAATATAGTACTATGTTTCATCTTGCTTTTTACTTTTTATTTTTTAATTTCCAAATTTTAAGTGTTCCCTTTTTTGGGTAAATTCTTATAAAAATGTTTATTGTAAAGCTATATATTTTGTCTACAATGGGATTATGCACTTCCCAATTGGGATTTTACATCAGGATTTTTAGTCATTCTCAAAAATAATTATTAAATAAAACTATTTATAGAGTGCCTACTGTATGCATGAGTTACTTATGAGGTATATTTTGAATGACAGTGTATTGTAAGAAAAAAGGTGAATAAAACTTGACATTAGATTATAAATTGACAGTCCATTGTATTAAACTTTTGCTCTTCTTTTAAATTTTTTAACTGATACATAAACCGTTTTGATAACATATGTATCATGTAATGCTCAAATCTATCTCCTCGTCTATCACTTACCTTGATGAAATATTCAAAATGCTTTCTTCTAGTTATTGAAAAACACAAGATGGTCCATTATTATCTATAGTCACCCTACTAGTATCTGTTAATCAACTTTTTCCCATCCCTATGTCCCTCTTATTCTCCTCAGCCTCTGGTTACTACCATTCTGCTCTTTAACTTCTATGAGATCAACTTTTTTAGGTTTTACATATAAGTGAAATTATGCATTATTTCTTTTTCTGTGCCTGGACAATTTCACATAACAATTCCTGTAGTTTCATCCATGTTGTCCTAAATGACAGGATTCTATCATCTTTCTAGCTGAATAGCATTGCATTGTGTATATATGTAAGTATATGACACATTTTCTTTATCTGTTCACCAGTTGATGGTCATTTGGACTTGGATTTCAAATCTTGGCTGTTGGGAATAGTGCTTCAGTAAACACGGGAGTGCAAATGTCTCTTCAACTGATTTCATTTCCTTTGGATATATTCTCAATAGTGAGATTTCTGCTGTTCTATTTTTAATTTTTTTTGAGGATCTTCCATTCTGTTTTCTAGCAGTGGCTGCTCTAATTTATATTCCACCAGCAGTGTTAAGGGTTCCCTTTTCTGCATGTCCTCACCAGCAGTATCCTTTATCTTTTTGTGATAGCCACTCTACACTGAAGAATAAAAGCCATGATTATCTCAACAGATGCAGAGAAAGCATTTAATAAAATACAACACCCTTTCATGATGAAAACCGTAAGCAAATTGGGTATAGAAGGAACATTCTCAACACAATCAAGGCAATTTATGACAAACCCACGGCCAGCATCCTAATGAATGGAGAAAAGTTGGAAGCATTCGCACTGGAAATCTGGAACCAGACAAGGATGACCACTCTCACCATTGCTATTCAATATAGTCCTGGAAGTTTTAGCCAGATACATTAGGCAAGAAAAAGAAATCAAAAAGGGTACAGATTGGGAAGGAGGAATTCATACTATCCCTATTTGCAGATGACATGATTTTATATATAGAGGTTCCAAAAGACTCCATGAAGCCATTACTGGATTTCATAGGAGAGTTTGGTAAAGTGGCAGGATATAAAATCAACACAAAAAAGTCAATAGCCTTTGTATACACAGACAATGCCACGGATGAGAAAGAACTTCGAAGGTCAATCCCATTCACAAAAAAAATACCTTGGAATAAATTTAAGGATGTCAAATATCTCTACAATGAGAATTATAAAACATTAAAGAAAGAAATAGAAGATGACACCAAAGAAAATGGAAAAATCTTCCATGTTTGTGGATTGAAAGAATCAATATCAAAATGTCCATACTACCAAAAGCAATTTATAGGTTCAAGGCAATACCAATCAAAATACCAAGGACATTCTTCTCAGATATAGAGAAAATGCTCCTCAAATTCTTTTGGAAGCACAGGAGATCCCAAATAGCTAAAGCAATCTTACACAACAAAAACAAAGCTGGAGGCATCACAATACCAGATTTCAAGACATACTACAGAGCAGTTATAATCAAAAGAGCCTGGTAACTGGCACAAACTGGCACAAAAACAGTGGAACAGAACAGAAACACCAGAAATCAATCCATGCATCTATAACCAACTTATCTTTGACAAAGGAGCTAAAATCAATCCCTGGAGCAAGGACAGTCTTCAACAAATGGTGCTGGGGAAACTGGATCTCTGTATGCGGCGTATGATGCCACTCTACTTGCAGTGAAGTGTTATGTCATTGTGGTTTTGATTTACATTTCTCAGATGATTAGTGATGTTGAACAGTTTTTCATGTACCTGTTGCTCATTTTGTATGTCTTCCTTTGGAAAATGTCTATTTAGATTTATTGCATATTTTTAAATGTTTTTGTTTTGTTTCTGCTATTAGACTTTTCTGAGTTCCCTGTATATGCTGGTTATTACTCCTTGTCTCATGTTTTCTTCAGTTGTTTCTGCACCCTGCTGGTTGTTTCCTTGATGTGTAGAAGCTGCTTTGATATAATCCCATTTGTCTGGTTTTGCTTTTGTTGCCTGTGCTTTTGTGGTCTTTTCAAAAAAAAAAAAAATTTGCCTACACTAATGTCTTAATTTCTCATCTTATGTTTTCCCCTAGTAGTTTCATGGTTTCAGATGTGCTGGGAGGGGTCTATATAGTCACAGAAGCCACTGTAGGATCCCACTAGTATGACATTCTAGAAGGGGAAAATTATAGGAACCAAATAAAATCTGGTTACTCAGGTTTGATGGGAGATTATAAAACTCAAACTGTACTCTTAAAAAGAGTTTTAATGTACGGGAATTATTTTCCAATAAACCTGGTAGAAAAATATAAAATGTAACATTGCAAAATAAATAATCAAATAACACTGAAATCTTACAATTCTTCTTCAAAACTGCTTGAATATAACAGTTGGTAGCCCATCACTTACACAACAGAGTGGCAGTAGGTGCAGGAATTTGTGCCAATGTAAAGAACTTTGCATTACTTTTTCAAAATTATATTTGCTAATCTAGGTTATTTCCTCTTTAATAAAAATTTAGCATCTGCTTATTTTCTACCACAAAACCTGCTGGGATTCTGATTGTAAGTACATTGAGTATAGAGACCAATTTGGGAAGAATTGACTTCTTAATATTGTCTTCCAGTCCCTCAACAAGTTGTGTCTCTCCATTTATTTAGATCTTTAATTTCTCAGCAATGTTTTGTGGAGTGGGTCAAGCTGAAGCTGGGACCTGGGAACTCAACCCAGTTCTACCACATTGGATGGCATAACCCACTCACCTGAGCCGTCACACTGCCTCCCAGGATCTGTGCTAGCAGGAAGCTGGTGTCAAGTGCCAGAACTGGGAACAGAACCCAGGTTTCAAAACCACTATGCTAAGAACCCGCCCCACACTTTCTTAAAAATAGGATGAGAGTTGTTCTGCATCTCATTACTTACAAATACCGATTATCTCTCCATGATAAAGACAATTGTCTTGATTCCTTAGACTTTAAAATTTTTGTTTTCCTTAGAAAATAATTTTATAAAATACCAAATATGTTAATAGTACCTGGGCAGTAAACTAACTGAATCAGGTTATTCAGATTTACACTAAAAAATACTAACAATATCAAGGATAGCAGCTGCTCCGAATTTCTCAACTTGTAAGTTAATTTGTTAGCTTTCAGGCACTGCTGTCTCATTCATAAACATGTTGCATTTCTGGTGATATACTTGGAAGAATTTCCCATTACAATGTTTTTCTTCATTTGGTAATTTCACATTGTTCTATATTCTGCTCCCTCTACTCCCAATTTGAAATAAATACTTTAGATATGCAACAGAAAACTTAGGAAACTTTCATGTGCTAGTTACATGCTTTAAAAATAATCTTTTGGCTCAATTATTTGGGTTCCTGCCACCCACATGGGAGACCTGGACTGAGTTCTTAGTTTCAGGCATTTGGGAACTGAAGCATTGAAAAGCTCATGTGCTCTCTTTCTCTCCCTGCTCCTCCCTTCCTTTTTTCCTTCAGTTAATTATCCTCTAATTTTGGACATTACTATTATTGAATGACACTAAAATTGTCAGGTGCTGTTACAAAAGTTTATGGAAGAAATATATAAGCCTCATCAGTAACTCATTCAGAAATTGAATTAATTTAATGGGTTAATTCAGCTTTATATTTTAAAATACATTTTCCCCATTTTATGTTTCAATGGAAACAGCAAACAATCACTGCAATTTGTGTAATTGTTTCAGAGCAGATGTTTTCTTTTTGAAGTTGACACATAGATTAAGCACAGAAGGGAATAGTTCTCTTCCTCTTTCTGTATTCTGAGCTTAAAAATGGAGTTAATGGTGAATGGCACTAATTTGTTGAATGGAGGTTTGGGTATTATCTATTTGTGTAAATATTCTAGGGATGGCATCCAGTCAGCTAACTCGCCTGTTAGTTGCCTGCTGTAGATCTGTTTCCTCACATTGGATTGGAAGAAAGCTTAATCACCTACTTCAAGTCTCATTTAATAGGTGGGAAACACACTTTAAGTAATTGCTGCAGTGTTGCATAATTATGAACTTGAGACCCTGAACTGAATTTTTGGTTTCAGGTAGGATATGTCTGAAAGCTTTGCTTTTTTGAATTAATTTCTCACTGGAGGTCCATCTTGGTGAGTGGACAAAGCTTATAAGATGTCTAGTCTTTGCTTTTTAAATGGCGAATTATCTTAAAGATTTTTAATGTCATGGCCAGAGTCAAGCAGACACCAGCAAGATGAGTGAGAGTTAGAGAGAGATGGAAGACACTGAGGCGCTAAACAGAAATAAGAAAGCAAGAGTGAGCCTCAGAAAGTACCCCAGGACGAGGAGGGGCCAGAGTGGCTGGAATGGAGAGACTGGTTAATTCACTTCCTGTATCACTTTTTATCCTGATCAATTTGGATATTCAAAGGTCCGGAAACAATTTAAGGTCAGACAGTAACTCAGAAATGACCCAAATCAACACTCTCATTTTACAAATAAAGAAACCGAAGTTTTCCCAATGCTCCACCATGAATGAGAATCCCAATCTTCTTCCTCCTTGTCCAGGAATCTTTTAATTGCATTATGTTGCTGTTGATAGCAATTTTTTGTTGAGATTGAGTATTGAAAGTCCTATTATAAACTTGTAAATTTCTTAATAGATTTCTATACTTAAAAGTTCCATCTCACTGTTTAAATTTAGCCCATAGTATCAGAACTGGAACATTCTTAAAGCAGAAGATAATGTTTCAAATTTTTAGCTAATCAAATTTTAGCCATTTTAAACCCAGTTGTTGAATATTTTTAAGAGGAAGAAGCATATGACAAAAAAAAAAAGTTGAAAAATTGGGATTTTTTAAGAATAACTAAAATCTCTCAGAACAAATTTCTGTGGCCCAGGGCTACTGAGTCTGCATACTCAATTCCATACAGCCATGAACACCCCCACACCTGACCACCCATCAACCCTGTGTAAGAGTGTGTGTGAGGTGCTTCCAAAGACTCACTTAGAAAACAAAATACTATTCGACATTTAGAACTTAAAGCTTATATATATATTTTTTTATTTTTTGACAGGCAGAGTGGACAGTGAGAGAGAGAGACAGAAAGGTCTTCCTTTTGCCGTTGGTTCACCCTCCAATGGCCGCCGCGGCCGGCACAGGGCGGCCGGCGCACCGCACTGATCCGATGGCAGGAGCCAGGTACTTCTCCTGGTCTCCCATGGGGTGCAGGGCCCAAGTACTTGGGCCATCCTCCACTGCACTCCCTGGCCACAGCAGAGAGCTGGCCTGGAAGAGGGACAACCGGGACAGAATCCGGGTCCCCAACCGGGACTAGAACCCGGTGTGCCGGCACCACAAGGCAGAGGATTAGCCTAGTGAGCCGCGGCGCCGGCCTAAAGCTTATATATTTATGGAACAATTGTGTGTGAAACATTTCAAGGTTTAGTGATTTACCTACAGGTTACCCTGGATTTTCTATTTGGATAATATATTATTTTTGAATTATAATAGTCTTATTTCTTCCTTTACGATTGTATTTTTTTATTTTGTCTCTCACACACTTTTTAATAGAAATGATGTTTTTTTGTCACACCACTGATGATAAAAGATTTCACTCTTTCCCACAGGAGGTTTGCTGCATTCTTGTCAGCTGAAGCAAATTCTCTTCTATTCATAGTTTGCTCTGTTTATTTTTTAAATGTCATGAATCAATATTGAGTCAGAACAAATGCTTTATCTGCATTATTATGATGAAATTATTTTTCCTTAACTGTGAACAGGGCTTCAGAGAACTCTCATTCTATTAACAATTTGACCTTTGTTGAGTTGACATTACCTACCAATCTCCTAACACAGTATGTTAACAATGTTGCTTCACGCTGCAAGTGAGGGTGAGTGGTAAACTGCACCTGGATTGGGAGGAACTGTGGTTGAACTTGGAATACCCATTATGGGAGCTATGGCTTTGAGCTTTCCTGAGTGCATAATTCTTAGAACTAGCAAGTCATCCGTGACAAGGCTGGAAGCTATGCAGCTGGAGTTGTTACAAGAGACACTGGCTTGAGCCGGCGCCGTGGCTCAATAGGCTAATCCTCCACCTTGCGGCGCCGGCACACCGGGTTCTAGTCCCGGTCGGGGCGCCGGATTCTGTCCCGGTTGCCCCTCTTCCAGGCCAGCTCTCTGCTATGGCCAGGGAGTGCAGTGGAGGATGGCCCAGGTGCTTGGGCCCTGCACCCCATGGGAGACCAGGAAAAGCACCTGGCTCCTGGCTCCTGCCAGGATCAGCGCGGTGCGCCGGCTGCAGCGGCGGCCATTGGAGGGTGAACCAACGGCAAAGGAAGACCTTTCTCTCTGTCTCTCTCTCTCACTGTCCACTCTGCCTTCCAAAAAAAAAAAAAAAAAAAGAGACACTGGCTAACCGTTCAGGTAGGGTATACAGCCCCTGACCTAAGTCTGTCTCCTTGTACCTGAGACGTCATCTAGGGAGGCCCAAGATGGCTGCATAGACGTCTTCGAGACTGCGACAAAGAATCCCCCAGAAGAGAGTCTAACACTTTCCCTTGTGTTAGATACTCAGTGTGTTGGTGCCAGGACAGGCCTGTGATACACTTAGATCTGAATGGTTAATTGCACCTAAGATTTCCTGGTTAGCATTGCCGATCTATTACTGCTGTGAAGTGTGCTCACTGCTTTGTTGCTCTTGTTGCTGAAATATTTAACTTTAAAATGTGTCAACAGTGAATGAAAAGAGGAGATAACCACTAGAAAGTTAGTGTAGGTTTACAGTTCATTGCTAATTACAACATTTATTTGATCTGAGAGTTCAGTTGTTGAGCAATGACTAATAATACGAATGACTGCCAATAACAATGACTAAATAAAGAACGAAAAATTTCACTGTTGTGCCTTTGGTCAAAATTTTTGACTATGGATAATTTTCAGCAAGGCTCTGTTGCTTAGCAGAGGATGCCCCAAGTGTTTGGGCCCCTGCCACCCATGCGGGAGACCTGGACGGAGCTGGTTCCTGGCTCCTGGCTTCAGCCTGGCCCAGCCTTAACCGTTGCAGCCATTTGGGGAGGAACTGAAAGATGGAGAATCTCTCTTTCTTGCCCTCTCTCTGTGGCTCTTTCAAATAATAAATAAAATCTTTTTTAAATTTTTTTTAGATTTATTTATGTATTTGAAAGGCAGTTACACAAACGCAGAGAGAGCAAGAGAGAGATCTTAAATGCACTCCTTCACTCCGCAGATGGCCACAACGGCCAGAGCTGCACCGATCAAAGCCTGAAGCTTCCTCCAGGTCCCCCATGTGGGTCCAGGAGCCAAGGACTTGGACCATCTTCTACTTTCCCAGGCCATAAGTACAGAGCTGATCAGAAGTGGAGCGGCCAGGACTCGAACTGGCACCCATATGGAATCCAGGCATTGCATCTTTAAAAATTTTTTTTTAATTGTTGCTGGGGCCAGTGCTGTGGCACAGGTTAATCATCTGCCTGTGGCACCGGCATCCCATATGGGCACTGATTCTAGTCCTGGCTGCTCCTTTTCTGATACAGCTCTCAGCTATGGCCTGGGAAAGCAGTAGATGATGGCCCAAGTGCTCGGGCCCTTGCACCTGAGTGGGAGACCCAGAAGAGGCACCTGGCTCCTGGCTTCAGATTGGTGCAGCTCCGGCCCTTCCAGTGATTGGAAGACCTTTCTCTCTGTTTTTCCCCTCTCACAGTTTGTAATTCTACCTCTCAAAATAATAAAATCTTTTTAAAAACTTGCTTAGTTAACCTAAAAAAAGATAATCCTTCACCACATAAATTTAATGGAATCCTAAATAACAAATTGCTATTATTCTTGCAATGGGTATTCATTGATTTTTTTAAAAGTATAATACCTATTTTAAATTTATTTGAGTCAGAGAGATACAGCACTCACCAACTGCTGGTTCGCTTCTCAAATGCTCACAGAAGCTGGGAGCCAGGCACTCAATCCAGGTCTCCATATGAGTGGCAAGGAACCAACTACTTGAGCAGTTGGTTATTAGCAGTGAGTTAGGATTGGAAATGGAGCTGGGACTCCAACCCAAGCGCTGCGATGGGGGTGAGGGATGCGGGTATCCCAACAGGGGTCCTAATCACTAGGCCCAACACCTACACCTGCATTTTTTTTTAAAGATTTATTTATTTATTTGAATGGCAGAGTTAGAGAGATCCTCCATCTGCTGGTTCACTCCCCAAGTGGCAATGGCAGTCGAGGCTGCGCCAGGCTGAAGCCAGGAGCTCCCCTGGGTCTCCCATGTGGGTGCAGGGGCCTGAGGACTTGGGCCATCTTCTACTGCTTTCCCAGGCCATAGCAGGGAGCTGGATCAGAAGTGGAGCAGCCAGGACTTGAACTGGTGCCCAAATGCTGGCACCTCAGGCTTTACCTGCTACATCGGCCCCCTACACTTGGTTTTTTTAAATGTTAAATATGCTTTTCTGGTCTAAATCCAACTTGATAATATTTTGTTGACAGCTTTAGCACCTACATTGATACATGAAATCAAAATGGAGATTTCCCCTATTGTCTGCTAAATAAATTAATCTCATTAAATTAACTGCTAAAAAATGACCTAAATGAAAGATCTCTGTGAGTGAGATCCCAGTGGAAAGAAGGGGCCATCAAAGAAAGAGGTACCTTTCTCTGAAGGGGGAGAGAACTTCCACTTTGATTATGGCCTTGTCTAAACAAGGTCGGAGTTTGTGAACTCAAGAGGCTTCCATAGCCTTGGCAGCTCATGACAAGAGCCTTGGGGGCCAGTGTCGCGGCTCGATAGGCTAATCCTCCGCCTAGCGGTGCCGGCACACCCGGTTCTAGTCCTGGTTGGGGCACCGGATTCTGTCCCGGTTGCCCCTCTTCCAGGCCAGCTCTCTGCTGTGGCCTGGGAGTGCAGTGGAGGATGGCCCAAGTACTTGGGCCCTGCACCCGCATGGGAGACCAGGAGAAGCACCTGGCTCCTGGCTTCGGATCAGTGCGGTGTGCCGGCCGCAGCAGTCATTGGAGGGTGAACCAATGGCAAAGGAAGACCTTTCTCTCACTGTCCAAACTGCCTGTAAAAAAAAAAAAAAAAGCCTTGGGTGATTACTGCCGTCATAAATAACAGTGTCAATTGTTAAATCAACAACGGGAGTCACTGTGCGGAGGTGCCGCTGCGGCTCACTTGGTTAATCCTCCACCTGTGGTGCCGGCATCCCATATGGGCACCGGGTTCTGTCCCGGTTGCCCCTCTTACAGTCCAGCTCTCTGCTGTGGCCTGGGAGGCTAGTGGAGGATGGCCCAAGTGCTTGGCCCCTGCACCCGCATGGGAGACCAGGAAGAAGCTCCTGGCTTTGGATTGGCACAGTGCCGGCCGTGGCAGCCATTTTGGGGGGTGAACCAACGGAAGGAAGATCTCTCTCTCACTGTCTAAACTCTACCTATCAAATAAATAAAAATAAATAAGATTCATTTAAAAGGACCTGTGTCCTTAATGTGTTGTATTAAGAGAATTAACAGTAAAACTAATCTTCAAATAGTACTTCATACTTTGTGTGCCTGTGTGGGTGCCAACTGTTGAAATCTTTACTTAGTATAGAGTTGATCTTTCTGTATGTAAAGATAATTAAAAATGAATCTTAAGAATGAGATGAGAGAAGGAATTAGGAGATGGGATGGTTTGCAGGTGGGAGGGTGGTTATGGGGTGGGGGGAGAATCGCTATAATCCAAGAGTTGTACTTTCAAAATTTGTATTTATTAAATAAAAGTTTTCTGTTAAAAAAATCTTGAAAATTAAAAAAAATAACTGCTAAATGTTCCTTGTTTATACTCTGGAATAGTGTCTGTTGGGTTGGCAGTATTTGCCTCTTCATTGTTTGGTAGACCTTCCAAGTAAGACTGGGTCTGGAGTTTTCTTTGAGGGAAATGTTAAACTACTGATTGAATTTCCTGACGGATGTGTGGTGGTGTCAGTATTCTGCTTCTATTCCTCATTTACCGGGACCCCTGCTCACCCCAGGAATTTGACATTTCCATCTGAGTTTAGAAATCTATGGGCATATTTTGGTTCATGACATTGTTTTATTTCCATTTAAGATTTTGCAAAATCTGTCGTAAGGTGTGGTGGAATGAGAAGGCCATGGCAAGGTGGCCACTGGCAAGCAAGTGTCAGTTACTCAGGAATGGCTTTGAAACCCACCTGGCAACGGAGCCTGCCTGGCAACAGGCTGTGATTGGTTGGGGCATAGACCACCCGTTGACCAGATTGGCTGGTCTTGGCTATATAAGATGTTGTTCCAACTGTAATAAACAAGTCTGTGGGCTGCTCGCCTCAGGCCTGCTTTCACCTGACTCCAGGGTCTGTGTGGTGACTCTGCACCTCTTGCCCCCACCACGCTGCTCCTCTCAGAAATGAATCCACTGTAACATTGTTGAGAAATCAATGGCAACAGTAAGGTCCCCTTTTTATTCCTAAATTGGTTTACTTGTCCCTTTTTACTTCTTGTTTAACAGAGTTTTGTCAATTATAGTCGTCATTTTAAAGAACCAACTTTAATTATTGGTAATTACTACTTTACTCAATTTCTGCTCTATGCTTACTTCTTCCCACTTTTTTATTCTGTTCTTTTACTAACTTCCTAATTTGTATTATTTGTAAGGCTATACAAGGGACCTTCAAAAAGTTCATGAAAAACAGGTATTATTAAAACATTATGCCTGAATTTCATAATGTTTACATCTGGAGCAGGCGTTTGGCATAGTGTTTAAACACTTGCATCCCACGGGGCTAGTGCTGTAGTATAGTGGGCTAAGCCTCCACCTGCAGTGCCATCATCCCCTGTTGGTGCTGGTTCGTGTCCCAGCTGCTCCTCTTCCGATCCAGCTCTCTGCTGTGGCCTGGGAAAGCAATGGAAGATGGCCCAAGTCCATGGGCCCCTTGCACCCGTGTGGGAGACCCGGAAGAAGCTCCTGGCTTTGGATTGGCTTAGCTCCGACAGTTGCAGCCATTTGGGGAGTGAACTAGCAGATGAAGTCCTTTCTCTCTGTAACTCTACCTCTCAAATAAGTAAAATCTTGACACGTACATCTCCTATCAGAGGGCCTGAGTTTTGAGTCCAGCTTCCTGTGCTGACCTGGGAGGCAACAGGTAGCTCAAGTATCTGGGTCCCTGACCCCAAGGCATGAGACTCGGGGCTCCTGGCTCTGACTTCTGCCTGGCCCTGCCCCTGCTGCTGTGGGAGTTTGGGGAATGAGACAGAGGGTGGGAGATCTCTGTTTCCCCTTTTCTCTGCCTTTCAGATAAGCAAAATTTGTGCAAAAAATAAACTTTTAATTCAATTTTCCACTAACTTTTTGAAGTACTCTTGTGAATTTTAAAGTGATGCTTAAGCTACCTTCATTCCACTCATTTTGAAATGCAATATTTCTATAGTTGTTCTGTTTTTGATATTTTCTGTTTTCTACTATGGTATCTTTTCGATCAAGAGTTATTTAAAAGCACTTTTTAAAAAATTTTTAGTAGAAGGTTTTCTTGTTACCTTTTTTGTTACTAATTTCTAATTCTTCACTGTCATTGGAGGAGTAAGGTATCTGTATAGTCTTTGAAATTTGTTGAGATTGCTTCATGGGACAGTAAGTGGGCAAGTTTTGAAAATGTTCCATTTGAGTTAAAAAAACAACATGCTGTTGGTTTTGTCCTGTATAATGTGTGCAGGCAAATCTAGTTAATTTTTTGGCTGAAAATGTTACTGTTTTCTCTTTTAAATGCGTCAATTACTGAGAGAAAGAATGTTAAAAAATCACCCACTATGATAAACTTGTCAGTTTCCATTTATATAATACTAGATTTACCAACTTTAAAAGGATGTTATTAGCTACCTGCAGAATTACAATTGTTCTCTCTGTAGCCCTCTTCATCCTGAGTAATGACTGAAGGTTTGTTTTTTGTTCTTGTACTAACAAAGCCAAACCAGTTTTGTTTTGGTTGATGTTTGCCTACTAAGTTGATCTTTTTTTATTTTTGACAGGCAAAGTGGACAGTGAGAGAGAGACAAAGTTGATCTTTTTTTATCCTTTTCTTCCCAATTTTTCCATCTCTTTATGTTTTAGATGTCTCTCTGAAATGGAGAGAGTTGTTTTCCAACCAGTGATCATGTTTTATTTTTAACTTCTGGGTTTAGTCTAATTATGTTTATTGAAATTATTGATAGATTTGTATTTTTGCTTAGCTAATCAGCCTGCAGCACTGGCACCCCGGGTTCTGTCCCAGTTGCTCCTCTTCCAGTCCAGCTCTCTGCTGTGGCCCAGGAGTGCAGTGGAGGATGGCCCAAGTGCTTGGGCCCTGCACCCGCATGGGAGACCAGGAGAAGCATCTGGCTTCCAAAAAATTCATAGCAGCCATTTGGGGGGTGAACCAACAGAGAAACGAAGACCTTTCTCTCTCTGTCCACTCTGTCAAAAAAAAAAAAAAAAAGTTTGTCATTGGTTTACATCATTTCAGTTGTCCAGAAGATTTAAGGGGCATCTGGCAGTGGTATCCTACATGGAGGAAAAAAAAAAAAGGTAAATTTCTTTCAACCAAGGCTATTGAATAAGTAATAAAATTTAACACTTGGATACTTTGAAGATTCTTATATTTTTGTTATAGGAACTGGAATGGAATTCAGAAGATGAAAATCAAGCTAGCAAGACCCTCCAAAATATATTAGGAAGTCTTGTTTCTAATTTTGAAATGGTTTTGTGATATGTTAGTATAATTGCCAATTCCTCTTTCATATATATGTATGAGCTTGATTCTATAATACTTAGAAGCAAAACATTAGCAACTATTCTTGAAAAATAAAAAAGTTTAAAAGAAACATTTCCTAAAATAGTACAGAATCCCAGAAGTCATTTAATCTGAGCTCCCTCGTCTTGAGTTACTAAGGAAACTGAAGTTCAGTCAAAATGAATGATTTTTTTAAAGATTTATTTATTTGAAAGATCTTCCATCCACCAGTTCCCTCCCCAGATGGCTGAATGAAACCAGGAGCTTCTTCCGGGTCTCCCACACGGTGGCAATGGCCCAAGCATTTGGGTCGTCTTCTGCTTTTTCCCAGGCCATCAGCAGGGAGCTGGTTTGGAAGTGGAGCAGCCGGGACATGAACTGGTACCTGTATGGAATGGCAGCATGACAAGTGGCAGCTTTACCCACTCCGCCACAACGCCGGCCCCTGAAATGAATGATTCGATAAACAGGTAAAAAGTTACAGAATGAGTGTAGGATCAGAAAGAGCGACTTACCTAGAGCTTGATAATCTGGTGTAAACAACTGAATTAAGACAGACCAGCACCATACATGATTAACTGGGAATCCCCTCAACAGTTCTAAGTTTTGTGTCAGAAATGTCAACGATATGAACAGTTTGGATTTTTTTTAAAGATTTATTTTTATTTGAAAGTCAGAGAGAGGAGGGGCAGAGAGAGAGAGAGAGAGAGAGAGAGTCTTCCATCTGCTGGTTCACTCCCCAATTGGCCGTAACAGCTGCAGCTGGACTGATCTGAAGCCAGGAGCCTCTTCCAGTCTCCCATGCGGTTCAGGGTCCCAAGGACTTGGGCCATCTTCCACTGCTTTCCCAGGCCATAGCAGAGAGCCCGATCGGAAGAGGAGCAGCAGAGACCTGAACCAGCACCTTGGATATGGGATGCCAGTGCTTCAGGCCAGGGCGTTAACCCGCTGCGCCACAGCGCCGGCCCCAATAGTTTGGATTACTTTTCTGTTTTTAACCCCACTGTGAGCCAAGCCCCAACTCAGAAAGCTATGGAAGTCTTTCCTCTGGTACTGCAGGAAGTGGATTCCTGCAAGCATGCTGCTTATAATGCATTAACAAGAAGATTCTTTTAAGGGAGTAACCACCGGAGTCCCACGTATTCCCGAAAGGAGCCCACTTGCTTTGAGAAGGCTGGAACGGATTAGGGCTCCATAGCTGCATCCTGGCGGGGTGCAGCTGCTCTGCCAAGTTGTGTGACTGAGGGGGTCTCTCTGGCCCTGGCCAGGGAAAACCAGCAGCCTGCCGCCAGCTGGCGCTCGGGTTCATCCATGTCTTCAGCTGCTGGGCAGGGGGAGGGATCTGGCCCTCCCCATCCGCCTTTGTTCACTGCTTCCTTTTGCTCACTCAGCTGCCAAAACAGAGGGTCGGTCCTTCCCCTTTGGAACAACTTTAAATATCTAGTCATCTCAGCTGAGAACTGTTTTCACCCAAAAGAACCTTTTCCCCGTTTCTAAACTTTGCTGTAGCAGGGAAGACCAAAGTCTGCTCATCCATAGGGTTCCTCCTACCATCTCTAGACGGGGATGGTGGGCCCCTCCTCCCAGCCCCTCGCTGGCCCTCGCTGGCCGCCTCCTGGTCATCCCCCACACGCCTAACTGCATGTTAAGCAGCTCTGTGTGAACGACGGGAGTCCTTTCGCGGGTGAAAATAGATTTGTAAAAGGCAGTGGCAATGGCAGGATGCGTCTGCTGTAGCCTGATCCGGGCGACGGGATTAACAGGGTAGGAATGGCAGGCTCACTTCTCAAGTCCTGAGATGGCCAGGTATCAGGCTGGCCAGTCCTACCCTCAGAACTAGGAGACAGTACTGAGCTCAAGTCAGGTGCTGCTTCCCGTGACGGCGAAGGCACTGGGTTTGGACTTAGGGCCGTGAGGAGACACGCACTGCGGGCAAGTAACTAAAGCCACCCGAGCTTCACTGTCAATGACAGAATGAAGGCCTTGGGACTAGATTCTACGCTGACGCAGCGAGAACTGTGGTCTACTAACTCGACAAGCTTCATCCGGTCCCTGAAGTTCTCGCAACGCCAACTCTAGCAAAGTGCAAATGGCTACACGTACAACTTTCTGTGTAATGACAGTAGTCTTATTAAAAGGGTTTATTCTTTTTACAGTGTGCCTCTTTATACAGAACTAAGTTTAATGGCTGCTATATAATCACTTAAAATATTTTATTAAGCATTGATTTAAAAAATGCAAGAGAAGAATGTAACACCTTGGAGCAGATGCTTGAAAGAAACCCAAGTATCACGATATAAATATTGCACTTATAAAATCTCTTTTCCATATCTTCACACAACTCAGTCCTAAAATATCCTCCGACAAAAACAAACACACTGCTCCCGGGCTGCCCCTGCTTGCAACCTTCAGATCCCGTGAGCACGCGGAGGTGGCAGGCGTCTGGTCCTCTCGGGGCAGGCGCACAGCTTCCATCTGCGGTACTGGAAGTCTCGGACCCCTGCAGGTGAAGAGTGAATCAGTCCCAGAGTGCTCGGAGTGCGATGTGTGCAGCTGTTTGTTCTACTGAAGGAAGACAGATCTTCCAGAAGCAGTGACAGGATGCGGATTACACCGACGCGCTTCGCCGTTAGCATTGCTTGTTCTTTAAGGCATTCAGGAGCTTCTGATTCTTGGTCTTGAACATCATGATGAAGCTGTCTGGCATGAGTTTGCCTCGCCCATCTTCACCCACTTGGCCCATGATAATGTAATTCATACCTAAAGAAAGAGGATAGAAAAATCAACCTGTATCTCTGTGTGATGTTTGAACCGCTTAGGCTATAACTTACCTCTGGATACACTTTCTCTTCTGTAGATGATTATGTATGTATTCTATCCAGGATAAAATCTGGTTTAAATCTCTCTTCAGCAAAAAACTAATTTCGACTCATATCATCTTCTGGCTTCACTAACAGCAGGAAACTGACCCGCGGGGTCCGATCAGGCACATCTCCCTGCGCAGTGGCACAGGGCTGGTGGGGCTTCCGGGTGCACCGTGGAGGCGGCACTGTTGGAGTGAAAGGCTCTCCTCCTTCCCGGGCCTCCAGGGCGCCAGGGCGGCCAACCTCAGCCGGCTTCTCCCAGCCCCACACGTGTCCCCATTTCCCTGGTATTTGGCGACTAACCATCCACTCTCTTCTGCTGTTGTTGTCTGGAACTTTTATCAACATCAAACATTTATGCTGTGTGAGTTTCCTGGGGGCATGGACACCTCTGCACATCTTATACTCATGGCGTTCCTTGCAGTACACAGCACTGCCATCGCTACTAAAAACCTGCTGATACTGGTGACGCTACTTTTCTAATAGGTACACACTGCTGTGTCTGGCCAAGTCAGGCCTGGCCTGCAGCCTGCGCTGAGGCGTCTTGGGTTCAACTCTGAAGATTTGCATAGCTTCAGAAAAATGCCGTGACACTGGCACATACTACTGCCACCTTTACTGTGCTCAGCCTGGTGCCACAGGACACTTTCTCTCGTACAACCCTTCCTGCGAGGGTGCACTGGGAGGCCGCGGGGACATGGCAGACTGAGCAGCATGACCTCGCAGTCTCCCCGTGTGCCCTCTGCTCTTCCTAGCCCTTCTGGGAAGAACGTGTCGCTTCTCCAGAGCCCGTCAGAGGGCTGACGTCAGGCTGCTGGCCTCCCGACTTCTCAGGAAGATCTGAATTCACAGTAAAGCTCTCTTGGGGTGGAGATTCCTGTATTTCTCTCTGGGTGTGGTTGGTTTGGTACAGATGTAAGAAGGAATGAGCGGAGATGGGGCCAAGAAATCATGGTATATCACACAGTGGAATGCCAAGGGTCATTACCATTCCAGAGAGAACTCTGTGTGGCTGCAGTTGTGGAGAGATGTCCACGTGTGCCTCACGCAGGGAAGGCGGCAGTGGAGCATGGGTAATACGCCCATCCATCTAAGTGTGACCCCACGCTGACAGCAAGTTCTAAACCTCTCTGTTTTATTGTTCAGTCATGTGCCTCTGGCTCTGCTGTAACTTTCCTCTTTTATAACTCCTCTAAGTAAACTCATTTCTACCTAGGAATTCAATGGCCCATGCAAGTCTTTCACTCCAGCCCGGTAGACCTCTCTCCTTGGAGCTTCAGCTCTGCACCGCCTGTCGTGTGCTGGGTATTTTTCTCCAGAATCCCTATGCCCTGAACGGCTCAGTTGGCTCTGTTCTCTCCTGACTCACCGTCATGGACCCGTCTTCATTTCCTCTACCTCTTCTGTGGCTACAAAATGTGGGGTTAGCGCCCACTTCCGCCTTATTCCAAAGGCATTCCTTCTCCACAAGCAGTGCTCAGTAGGTCGGCCCCGATTTCACTTCTCTAGCCCAGATCGGTCTCGCTAGAGAGGCCCTCTCCATCCCTCCTCTGCTCTTTGCCCCAGAAGACAGACTAAAGCTCTTCTCCCCACTCACCCCTGCGGAGGAGCGGGCACTGCTTGCAGACTGCAGTGACCCTGGCGCTCATGTTCTTGCCGGCCTGCTGAATGGCCAGGCTGCCCTCTTTGTAGATGTTGATGATCGAGATCGTGGCGTGCAGGCTCCCGCCTCGAGTGACGGTTGTGATGACCGTGCCAGCTAATACTGCAGAAGACAACATTGTGGAAATAACGTGACCGTCAAGGTAAACGCAAGCAAACGAAGTCATGTGACAGTCTAGAGGGTCTCCTATATGAAGCTCTGTTATTTTTATTTATTGGCGAGGCAGAGAGGGAAAGAGAGAACAAAACTGAGTTCCCAGCTGCTGGTTCAATCCCCTGATGCCTGCAACAGCCAGGCCTGGGCCAGGCCAAAGCCAGGGGCTGGGAACTCAGTCCAGGTCTCCCACGTGCTGGAAGGGATCCGACCACTTGAGCCATCACCCGTGCCTCTCAGCGTCTGCAGCAAGAAGTAGGAGTCAGGAGCAGGAGCCGGGAGACGAACCCAGGCACTCGGATACGGCTGTGGGCATCCTACCTGGGGTCTTAACTGCTAGTCCCAATGCCTGCCACTGAAACATGGTAAAAAACAAAAGCAAAACCAAATAGAGCCCTGGAACTTGATTCTGTACATTTGTTACCAAATCTCAGGTTGGAATAAAGGGTCATAAAGTTATAATACTCTGTTTGGTGTTGCTAAATAGGAGAGAAACAAATACCTCCCACTTTGCATCTGTCACTGAGGACTGTTTAAAATATTGTATCCAACAAGCAGATCACTCACTAAATAAGAGGCTGATAAGCCTCTACCTATGCACACTCCGTAACACTTTGAATCTTTAGCAGCAATACTTTGCTAAAAGTATTCCCCCCATGATGGGGGAATCACTATGATCTCAATTAAAAAAAATTTTTTTAAACCTTTTATTTATTTGAGAAGCTTATAGATAGATAGAGTTCCTTTCCACTATTTCACTCCCCAAATGTCCACATGGCTGGGACTGGCCCAGGGCTAGAGCCCAGGGCTGGGAGAGCAGTCCAGGTCTCCCACTGCCGCCTCCCAGGATCCGCACTGGCAGGAAGCTGAAATTAGGAGCTCTTCCCATGCCTCACTGTGATTC